GCTAGTTCTCCAATGGGTGATAAAGAGATTTAGGTATTTGCATAGTTTTAACATGTCTCCAATTGCTCCACCCTCCCCTTCCCAAAATAATAGTTGGATGATAGCAGTTACTCCTGCTAGATACTAAAAGTGCATTCAAACCTTTTGCTTCAATAATTCTTAAAGACCTTCAGTAATATAAGCCAGTGTTACTCTTCCTACATTCTAAATTGGAAAGATTCATTGCTAGCTGCACTGAGTTCTGAAGCAAAGAACTTCCCAGTTCAAACCTATGGGTGATATGGCAACCCACACCGTGGCACAAGCCATATAAGGTGCGCATTTTGCCCCAGGGCCCATGACCTGCATGACAGGTGATTGGCTGCATCACAGGTTCCTGGCCCTCTCCTCTCCTCTCCTCTCCAGGAACACCTGCAGTTCCCTTCCACGCCAGCATGTCCATAAGTTGTTCTAGCTTGCCACCACTCCTTTTACATGTTGATTTCCCCCCCTTAAGATTGCAAAAGCCACTGTCAGTTTTGCCAGCCACAAATGGTCTTCCAATGTATCCCAGGAATAAGGGCTTCCCATGGCAGCAAATTATCATCATCATCATGAAGCATTGATTTTGCAAAAATATTTGTGAAAATAGTTTTTAGAATATTGCTGCCCCTATGATTTATTTATGCCATTTTAATACTGCCCAATGGGCAGCCGAGCATTGCTGCAGTAACATGTGAGCAGCGACTGGGGACCTGGAAGTGCCTGATGGACAGAAAACGAAGTCTAATAAGCACCCACCTTGTCCATTGATCCTCTAAGGTGCAAATATGTAGATTTGTTTGTCTGTGTGTTTTGGTGCATGACAAAAAAGCTGCTGCGTGGGCCATGCTGCAAGTTCAGCCATATAGACGGCTGTTTCAGAATTAAAATGCTGGTTTTGTTAAATTACTTGGGGGATGGTCTATATCCCATCAGATTGTAGCACGTGTGGCAGGAGCGGGCTCAGGCTTCATGCATTGGAACTTGTGCCTGGGTGATGATTGGACCTTGTTTGGAATTCTCTTTTATACAATTTGGCCTTCTTGTACTGTTTGGTCTCATAATAAGGCTGGCATCACTCTCTTCAATAGCTGATTCCCAACTTCGGTCCGAACTGGAGCCAGTGAGTCTCCCCCATTCCCTCTCTCCCTCTTTCCTGTCTTCACTACTCCCATGGCAGGATCCCAGGCACAGAAGAACCTGGCAAACTCCAGTTCTCCGAGGCACCTGAGTCCAGAGAGCAAATGCCAGCTGCCCCGGAGAACTGGAGCGGAGCAGGATATTCCCCTTCTTTTCAGGCAGGCTTGATTCCGATTCCTTTTCTTCTCCTAGTGGTTGCACTCAAAGAGGCAGAATATATGAAGGCGAGACACTCTGCAGCAGGAGCATCGCCTGTGTCCTAATTACTAGTGCTAGATTATAAAGAGACTTTTATGGCTAAGGCGGGAGTCATAGGCGTCCTATGAAAACGCACACTTCTCCAAATAAGTATGTAGATGGTGAAATAGCTTTCATGGGTCCCTCTAAATCTGCTTAATTATAAATTATGCAAATATCCTGCAATCACTTTCTAATTGGTATTGTCAGCCCAGTAAATTAATTTGTATTTAATGATGTGTGTAATACTTTTGATGCAAGACTTCCATAGACTACTCAGGAGTCTTAGTCAGAGCCATCTTTTGAAGATGCTGCAATAAAGTAGATATCCTAGAATGTCCTTGACTAGCCAGCAGATTTCTGGATGACTTGCCACCTGAGTTTTGTACACTGTCTCAGCAACAGAGGGATCCTCATTAGACATGTGGGAACCAATTGCTGGGTTTCCCACCACTACCATGCCTAGCCAGCTCATGCCAGCCAGGACAAGAGTGTGTGCGCATGCACCTGTCTGTGTGCACATGTGGCTTCACTGAGGTTATCAGTTGAGTGGAATATAAATTTTGGAAATTGCAAAGTATCTATGCCACTTTTACACTGGCATAGCTTTGGAGTCCAGTCTGGAGCCCTCTTGGAGAAATAGAGGGGCTTTGGATCCAGATCCAGCAGAGCCAAAGCTGCACCCACCCCCCCAGAATGCCCTGGCTGGGGGCTGACCACCAATAGGAATGCTGCCACCAGTAGGTCTCTACCCACAAGGCTTCCTCTGGGTGTGCCAGAAGCTGCTGTGACTGAGAACTTCCCCTCCCTGTGGCAGAGCCCTGCTCATCTTAACTCCTCTCAGAGATTCACCCAAAGCGTCGCCACTCACTGCAAATTAACTTGATCCAGTTAGTTAATTCACACTCCTCATGAACAACACTGAGATAAACTGACAATACACACTGTAAAACATATTAAGAATACAAGTAAAACATATTAAGAATACACTGCCTCGCGACAGTGACACATGCGCTGGTGACTTCCTGTCTTGACTTCTGTAACGCGCTTTACGTGGGGCTTCCCTTGAAGACGGTCCAGATACTTCAATTGGTTCAAAATAGAGCTGCCAGGTTGCTGACGGGGACGGGGCGTTATGTTCACATGACTCCAGTTCTCCGTCAGCTTCATTGGCTTTCCATTGAAGTCCGGGCCCAATTCAAGGTGTTGGTGATGATCTATAAAGCCCTATACGGCTTGGGTCCTGGTTACCTGAAGGAGCGCTTACATCCATATACGCCCAGCTGCCCCTTGAGATCTGCGGGAGAGGCCCTTCTCTGGGAACCATCCGTGAAAGAAATTAGGAGGGTGGGTACTCGGAGGAGGGCTTTCTCTGCGGTGGCGCCTAAGTTATGGAATGCGCTCCCCAGAGAGGTCCGCCTGGCGCCATCGTTATTTGTTTTTCGGCGCCAGGTGAAGACCTTTTTATTTAAGCGGCATTTTAACTGTTAATATTATTGGATTTTATCTGGCCAGGGCAGCTTATTTTATATTGTATTTTTGTATTTTTAATCTAGTGTTTATATTTTTTAATTTAATATTATAATTATTTTTTAATTTATTGTTGTAAGCCGCCCCGAGGCTTCGGCGAATGGGGCGGCATAAAAATGTTTTAATAAATAAATAAAAATAAAAATAAGTAAGGTAAAGTAACCATGCAACTGTCCACCACTTTCGGTTTGGTCTGGAATTGTTATCCTTGCTTCAATCGTTATTTATGGTAAAGTCAGACAGCACTGGTGCCAAACCCTAGGATTTCAGCATTTTTCCAGCATCTCTTCTTTCATTTTTTTCTCAGACTGCAGAAAATGAGACATTGCTTTGAACCAGTGCGACTGCCAAGTAATCACCTCAGGTGTAAATCTTTCTTGGTGCTCTCTTCCACTTGGGCTTAATCAATTACACACAGAGATTCTTGCCTGCGTAGCTATGCATCAAGGGAGCATGTCAAGTCACCTTTGCTAAGCTGGAAAGACGCAGGCTGCAGCCAGATGGGTGACCACCTGTGGAAGCAGAGCAGGGGGCTGGACTCATCTGCCAAAACAGGCCCCTTCCAACTCTACTATTTCTATTCGAATTGCTTCCACATTATTTGCCCCCAAGGCACACACTACCTTGGAGGTGCTTTCCTTGTTCAGCCCTCCTTCATTTTGATAAGGGTGCTAGGAGCCCAGGACCTTTTGACCGTATGGTTCAGAGTGTGCTTTGGGGTTGGTAGGACAGCAAGAACCTCCTCCCCACCTTTGGCTCCACACCAGACACCTGCAGCCAGAGCATCTGCATGGGAGGAAGCAGATCTCAAGTTCATGCCATGCAGCAGCAGAGCTACAGGTACAAAGGAGAGATCCTACAACATTGCCCAGAGAGCAATTCCTGTAATACTGAACAGGGCTTCCTTTTGAGCAAACATTCCTAGAGCCTTCGACAAGACTGAAGCTTTGTCTCTGCCATGGGGATGAAGATGGATGAGGAGATGGCATTCCATTATCAGGTAGGAAGCATTGTTACAACTGCACATTCAGCTGCTCGTGGAAGGCCAATGCTTCAGCATCTGCCAATGCCCCTAGCACTGTCTTTTCATCGATGCAGCAAGAGCCTGCCTCAGAGCTCTCTTGTGCTAATCAGCAAATAAGCCAATTTCTCCTCTGAGCCTGCAGGCTCTTGGGTGGGAGCACCAGAAGCCTTGACAATGAAGGCTCAGCCCTTCCTTCCTTCCTTCCTTCCTTCCTTCCTTCCTTCCTTCCTTCCTTCCTTCCCTCTTTTCATCCATCCTCTGGCTCCTCCAGAGAATGATCCTGTCAGCAGTGAACCCTCTTTGCTGGGAACAGAAAGTAATTAAGTCCAATATTGCCAACTCTGATTTGCGTCAGTCATCCATTCCATTCCTAAAAAGTTTTTATTTTCAAAGCAGCCCAGTTGTCCTTTTCTACCTTCCTGTAATTTTTGCCAAAGTTGTCCAAAGTCAGAAAAGAAATCAGCCCGATCCTAAACAAGTTGGACAGCTGGATATTAACATCAGGGCAATGTGTCTGAAAGCTGTCACTTAGGATAACCTCTTGCCGCATCAGCTGCCAATGAATCCTCCATCCCAGTGACTACCTTTTGAAATTCACCTCCATGCCAACACACTTGTGGACAATTCCCCAGAAGAATTTAACTCCTCCTTGCATCAGAGCTCACTCCTTGCTCATCCCTGTTTTCACTTCCAAGCTTCTGTGAAAAATTCGCACAAGCCGTTTAGGGCTGGCTTGGGGTGTTTCAAAGAGTGCATTAGTAGCCCTTTTATTCCTCCTCTGGCTGGCAGGAAGCAAACGCATGGATGTGCCGCACGGATGGCTTGCTGTCTATTGGGCTAGCAAGAGCACAGCATTAGCATAACCAGCTTTGGCTGTGGAGAAGCTGCTTCTTTAAAAGCGTCCTAGCGAGCACCGGGTAGTTGCAGTTCCACAAGGCCGAACGTCACTGAGCAGCATAAATAGCAGGCATGAGTGAATGGGAGGATCGGGAGGGCACAGATTTCAAACCTACTTGGCTTGGGAGCACTCGCAGTGTCTCGCTCTTTTTCTGCACAACCTTTCCAGATACGCTGAGTCTTGCGCTGTTCCCTGGTGTCTACAAAGATCCTTTAGACACATGCCAACCAAGCCTTCTGTTATTTACTTATTTTCCCTTAGGAAGAAGAAAACCCATCAACTGGATTTCAGGTTTGGAGCTGGAATTTCAGTGTTTATGTTCATTTCATCTTGTGTTGCACTTCATTTGGTGACTCTTCAAAATGTGTGTGGTTGACCTGATTGCTCACCTGAGATGAAAGGTATAAGGGAAGGAACATTTTATTTGTAGTCCTTGGAAAGGATATTGTGGGGTTTTGTTTTGTGTTTCTGCTGATGCAAAATGTAAAGATAAATTGCTGGATGCGCTTGTGTGTCTGTGCTTCTTCTTAGACATGCCGACAGTCTTACTTTACCAACTGGTTGCTCAGTTCAGCAGCTCCGGAAGCAACTGTTTTTCCCATTTTTAAGAAAGTAGATTATTATCTGACTCTTTTCATTTGCTTCCCAACCTGGAAAAATACAAAACTGGATAGAAGTGAAATAGTTCTGTCCATAAACTAGACTGCTATCCTATTGAACTCGGGACCAAACCTGATGTGAGGTTAAATGCATTTGTAATGCATTTAATGCATGGGGCTGTTGTTCTTGTTATGTTAAATGTTTGCTTATTTTCTGCCCTGCTGCAGTTCTACAGAAAATACCCTTCTTGTGGGGGGGGGGGGAGGGGGAATCTCCCACTGGCACCAGTCCAGTCCCTGCATGTCTGTTTTTTATTAATGATTTTAGTCAATGAGTCGCATTGCTATCATTGTGTGCCATCAAGTCATGTCCAACTTACGGCGACCCTATGAATGAAAGCCCTCCAAAACGTCTTCTCTGCTCAGCTGTTCATTAGTTGTATTGCAAAATGAATAGTGTCCCTTTCTTATAGATATAGGCTGTCCCTTTCCGACTTAGATGCAACCCATTCAATGGAGACATGAACCCTGCGAGGCAGGTTAGGCTGAAAGAACTTCATGGGTGGATGTGGGCTGTGCAGTATTTAGTTCCACAAAAGCAACAATTTAAACGGCTGAATTAAATCAATCTGACAATCTCAAAAGTCTTTTTATTGTTTTGGAAATCTAACTGTCAAGGATGAACAAAGGAAGAGCTCCAAGGAGAGAAATATAATCAATGAAATGAAATGAAATGTGACCAGTCCAGGGGTCCAGCTAGTCCAGCTTCGTCTTTTGCCTGGCTGCTAATCAGGTAGCCCTCTCCTGTTCTGACTTCCTCTCATGTCAGAGGCAGCAGTATACTATATCACCGTGTAAATGCCTTCCCCATGCTTTGGTCTAAATCCCTTGTAAAGCATTGCATGGCAGGAGAAATCAACTTTAAATAGATGTGTGAAATTCATTACCATAAGAGGTGGTGATGGACTCTCACTCAGGAGTTCACAAAAGGACGAACAAGCTTATGGCAAATAAGCTCTATGGCCTTCCTGAGAGCAGATCCTCATTGCATACCTGTGCTGGGAGCCAGTGCCAGCTGGAGCATCTGAACCTTTTGATTAGGTCCCCGCCCCTACTTCTAGGGCAATTCCACATCATCACTGCAGTCATAACAGTATCAGTGCACACAGATTTTGTACAGTGCTTTGTCCTTAAGGTGATCATAGAAACAGAGCGAGTCAGAAGGGGTCTCCTGGGTCATCTAGTCTGACTCCCAGCTCCAGCCGACTCCGCTCATGAAATGCTTATCATATGCATGCCCAGCCTATCCTTAAACACCCTCACTGATGGGGCTTTCAATCAGAGTGCAAAGAGATGCCTTGACGAGGCAGCATGCAAAAGACCACCCAATATGCCAATTTTATTGTTATTAATATATATGTAACACTATCTATGTACATTGTGCTTTACAAAGAACAGGTATGACATGTCCAGTTTACAAGGTAAACCAGAGGCAGAAAATGGCAAAGGACGTGGGGGAAATGGAGGCATGGGCTAGCAGGGGACGAATAGGCAATGATTTCTATTTCACTTATTTTGGCTTAGTTACGCTAAGGCATAGGGATGGGAGGGATGACCTAAAGTCTTCCCAGAAAAGCTCAGCTTTGAGGTGGGATTACATAATGGAGGTGGTCACCCAGAGCTCTTGGAGGCAGTTCTGGGCAGAAAGGACAAGAGAGGAAAATTGGTGGAACCTGTTCAGTGAGCAAGAGATCGTCAGATTGCTAAAGGCAGTGGAACATGACAGGCTGGATCCCTGAATGGGATGTGCCAGGAAGTAAGTGGAGAGAGATAAGGAGGGCCAAAGCCATGGAGGGTGTTTAAGGCACAGACAGGAAATTTGCAAGACCAGGAAAGAACAAGAAACCACTGGTGACATCTAGGCAGGGAGTCACTTAGAGACTTGGCAGAAGTGATTAAATTGGGCAGGTGACTAGTGGGTGGACAAAGGTAGCAAAACTGAAGACCAGAGAAGAGATTACAGTAATATCTGAACAGGACTTTAGACACATAGAAACACTATTCAGGGTTAATTCGTTATTGATTAGTGCTAAAATGCGATTAGAGTTGGTTTTAGTACAATGTATCCATTAGTTAGAAGGCTTAGTGGAAACTTCAAACCATGTTTATTCCCACTACCTGCTTGGAGCACCAGATGATGGAATCCACCAAGCAAATATTTCACAGCTGCTAGGCAGCAAAGCTCCATGCCTTCTTCATGCAAGAAGCTGACTAATGGATCAGCAACTCAAAGTTAGAAAGAAGCAAAACTTGTAAAATAGTCCACAACCGGAAAGGTGGGCTTCCTATCAACCAGTTCATCAACCCACTGTTACAGGATTCAGAACTTTTGTGACTCTTCCCTTAAGTGATTCCACCTCATTCTGTCTGTTACGTCACTTTTCTAGAGCAAACAGTGATGTCGAAGCCGGGGAGCTGCTACAGGAAAGAAGTGATGCCAGCTAAGAAATGAACCCTTCCCTGTCCCCTCCTCCTCTTCAAGGTGATTAGCATCCATAGCTGGAACAGCAGAAGGTATGTTTAGTTAGACCCTTCTGGAGGTGATGGAAGGACCCATCTCCTCAACTGTGAGGATGGTCACAGACAAAAACCACCCACTCAGAATCAACCTCAATATCTCCTACAACACCACCTGGGATGACCTCTCCACTGCCAGTTCTATGGAGGACATCGTAGCCACCTGCACCATCGGGACTCTCCTCTCTCTCATGTGCATTATTGGGGTGACAGGCAACATCTACACTTTGGTGGTGATGTGCCACTATCTGAGATACTCTGCATCTATGTACATCTACATCATCAACCTTGCCCTCGCAGACCTCCTCTACCTTCTCACCATCCCTTTCATTGTTGGGACATATTTCATCCAGGAATGGTACTTTGGGGATGCTGGGTGCAGGATCCTTTTTAGCCTGGATTTCCTCACCATGCATGCTAGCATTTTCACACTGATGGTGATGAGCACGGAGAGATACTACGCAGTGCTCAAGCCTCTGGATACTGTGAAAAGGTCGAAGAGCTACCGGAAAGCTATTGCCATGGCCATCTGGGTAGTGTCCCTGCTCCTCACCCTCCCAATGCTTATCATGATCCAGCTAGTACAAGGGGAGAAGAACATCTGCCTTCCAACCTGGAGCAAACTGTCCTACAAGATCTACATCACCATCCTGTTCTGCACCAGCATTGTGGGGCCAGGGGTTGTCATTGGGTATCTTTACATCAGACTGGCCCGAACTTACTGGGTGTCCCAAACAACATCTTTGAAGGAGACCAAGCGGCTCCCCAACCAAAAAGTGCTCTATTTGATCTTCACCATTGTGCTGGTCTTCTGGGCCTGCTTCCTGCCTTTCTGGATATGGCAGCTCCTCTCCCAGTACTACGAACCTTTCCCTATGTCCCATAAGGCCATGAGGAACATCAACTACCTGACGACGTGCTTGACTTACAGCAACAGTTGCATCAACCCTTTCCTCTACACCCTGCTGACCAAAAACTACAAGGAGTATTTGAGGAACCGGCAGCGTTCCCTGAACAGCAGCATCAGTGGGGTCCACTCCCAGAGGAGGAACAGGTTCCAGAGAATCTCGGGGAGATCCTTGTCCACAAGCAGCCAGCACTACACTGAGACCTTTGTGCTGCCTCCCATCCCTGGAGGAAGCAGCAGCCCCTGAAGAAACCCAGCGGTCCACAAGATGCCCCTGGCCAAGAGAAGACAGCAATCCCGGAGGAGGCGCAATGTTTCGAGAGGCCCAGAAGAGGCACATGTGTCCCTACAGGGAGCAACCCCGTGGCCCCATCCACTGCTTTTTGTCTTAGTAGTAAATTTTGGTGAGCCATCTCTGTTACAGCAATTCACAAAAGCATGTAACACCTGTCAGTGTAACTTAGTGAACTAATCTTTGTCAAGAGATTCTTAAATTAAGATGATTTAGAACTATATGTCCAAAGTGCAAAGCATTCAGTGCTTGTGAACATATGTGTGCTGTATGGTTTGAGAAAGGATAAAGTATTTGTGCATTTGAGGGGAAAGGGTAGGCTGAATTCACTGGGTGGAGTTTTAGGGGTGGGTGGGGGACATGATATTGCGTTAACTCCAGGTAGGTGCCACTGCTCCATCCGGAGACAACCAGCCAGGAGTGTTGTTGGCACAATGAAATGCACTTTCGATTAAGTTTGCTCTGAATTAACTTAGTTTTGCTTTCTCCTATCATATCAATATAATATGAATGAGTGATGTTAAGAATCTAGCTAAAATCTAACTGTTGGAAGAACCTTCAGTCATTCAAGGAGTGTTAAAGAAAATTAAGGGGGGATAGACGGAAATCAAGTCAGGCACATTAAAAACAAAACCAGAGGGAAGTTGTAATATTCCGATATAGCGGATCAAAATGGTGAAGAGTATTAGTCAGTCAGAAGGCATGGACTTGGTTCATACAATCTATATAAGCTTATTTAAATTACAGCACATACTGGGCACAATTTCCATAATCACACCTGAGTGCAGCTTGTCGTATTATCCATACCTGGGCAGCACGGCTTGCTGGAAGGGACCCCCCCCCCCAAAAAAAAAGAACTATAATACCTCATGGGTTGTTAGAGGGTTACTTCCACTTTCAGTAAGGCAGATCTGCTGCCCAAATCTGGACAGCATAACAAGCTGTGCTGAGGAGGTGATAATGCAAACCGCACTCAGCACCCCGTGGTTTAAATAAGCCACCGTGGCTTAGCTTGATCATACAGACAAGCTCACAGAGGCGTATCAGAGTATTCCCAGAGAGCAAAGTGCTGCTTTTTTATCTTGGCTGGGCAGAAACTTTCCACATATCGAGTCTCCATGTAAATGTGCTTTATCAGTCCCATAAGCCTGGCCTTTTCAAATGGGGAAAGCCCTTGGATGCAGAGTGTGGCACAATCTTACAAGCAGCAGAGTTACCTGAGGAATCTTTTGGAAAGCCCATGTCCTTGATGAGTAGCAATGAGTTCATTGATATGCAGAGGATATTGGGGGGGGGGGGGAAGGTGAGGGAGTAAGAATCCTATTAAATCCCATAGCCAGTGTCACCATGGATACTGACCCCAAGCATTTTAACAGGGAAAAAGTGGGATGGGTGGTGAGCAAAGCACATTTCCACATGCATTCAAAGGCAGGGGCCGGCACCTGCTGGAAGACTCACCCTTCACTTCTTTGCAGAGTTAAAATCTAGCCTGTATGCAGTGTGGGGACATCTAAACAGTCAAGTTCAGCTCAGTGATGAATAGTCACCTTGCTGCATAAAACCATCAAATGAAGAAGACTTCCATGCCACCTTGTCAACATACAGCGCCTGGAACATGTCCTGTAACAGCTATTGATATATCGCACATTTGTGCATTCTTTTAAATAATGGCTTGGTTACTACCAGTGTCTAAGAGTGCTTACTTTCACAATGAGTATTTGGCAAGTCTCAGTCAGCAAACAACCCCAGAAGGCCAAGAACATCAACTGAGAAGTGAGGGGGTCATTCTACAGATGTCTCTTTTCTAGACATCTCTGGCAGCACTTCTTGCACTTTGCAGGGTGACTCTAGACCCAGAAGAATAGTGATGTTCTCTTTTGGCTTCCTGACCATAAGTCACTTTCTAGGCCCCGGAAAACAGGAGCTGCAGCTCTGCCTTGTGTGAGATGCTTCCCACACTCACTGGAGCATGACAAAGAAGCCGCCTGCCTCCGTGTCAGCAGAGATGAATAGTCTGGATAATGGAATCTGCAAAATAATTATTGTGCCTTATCAGTTCTTCCTGGTGAAATGGACTTCTTTTCAAACAGCTCAGATTGCACTCTCACCTTCTCATGTTTTGACAAAAGGCAGGGATGACAGTGCACCACAATTGTTTTGTAATTCCTTGGGTCATAGCAGTCACGGCGCGGCATGCGCACAGCGTGCATCTCTGCACGCGCGCATGTGTGCGCAGACTAGGAATAGGAGTGCTGAGCTTTGTTTCCTTCTTCTATCCCTCTGCATGTATACACTTACTGCAAAGGATGAAGAGCTGAGTAAAGCCACTGTGAATGATGAGTTCACAGCACATTTCAATATTTCATATTTCAAACATTCAGTATTTCATATTTAAGACATGACCAGGTTTGAGTAAAGACACTAATGTCCTCCCTATTCCACGAGCACCTCTTAATGTTAGATTTGATGTGTTCTGGATGCCCTGGGATCAGGCATTGCTTGGATCAGGCCCTTCCCGGCAAACAGAACTGTAGATCACCTTGAGAATATTTTGAATGCAGGATGACAGGCTTGTTTTTGTAAATAAATATAGAAGAATACAGATTCCAAAGAAGTAATTTTTCAGGCTGTTCCAGGTTGCAAAAGTTTGGGAAACTGTTTCTGAGTTCTCTCGCTGCAAGATCAGAGAGAAGGCCCATCAAACCATGATGTCCTGAGCAAGCAGCAGAGAAGACGGGAAGCGAGTGCTCCTCATTAGAATATTTGAGAGCGACCCATCTCCTCCAGGCAGCACAAAACGATCTTTCAGTTAAATCTGCCACAGCTGTTATCAATCAAGTAAGCACATGCCATGAACTCTTCCATTTAACGCTGCAAGGAACACCTATGGCTTGAAAGACTTGCAGTGCTTTTTAGCCATTAGTTCATCTAAGGACAATTATAATTTCAGTTACACTGTGTTGTTATTCTAAGGCAGTGCTGCACTCACTTGGTTTTGATGGGGTAGGAAGAGGGGAGTTTGTTTGTTGGTAAAAGAACCAGATGACCAAATTCAGATAATGCTGGTAAAATGTATTCACTTTCCGGAGAGAAGTCAAGAGAAAATGAAAACTTGTTCACTGCTCTGTGACATTTTGGTGATCACTAATAATGGCATTGTCTAATTGTGGATTTTGGTGTTTTCAAAGCAAGCTCCCAGACTAGTTTCAGGTGACCTCACCTTGGCCGGAAGCACAACTGGGTAGATTCAGTGTGGGCACCCAACACTCTCTCTGTTTGTGGGACTTGGAATCAACAGGCTTCTGCAGAGCTTCACGACACGCCTGTGTTTGCTTGGGATTCTTGCAACATGCGCTCACTCCGGCACTTGTCTGCAGGGGCAGCACTCCCCCCCTCCATTCTGCCTGAACCATGGTGCTTTCTTGTATGCTCAGACAGACCCCTCATCTCCACTAAGAAGGAGAGTTTCACTCCCTCGTGGAGCTCCTTTGGTGGCTTCTCAGGCAGCTTTCCCTAGCGGGGCATCCCACTCACATGATGAGTTTGTGTTTCTTCCTGGGACACCTGTGGGCCTCCCCGTCCTGGGCATGCTGCCACAAGGGCGGCATCACAGACCTTGGCTGGCCTCCTGGAATCCTAAGGGGCCGTGCCCACACATGGGGCCGAAAGCAGCATTATGAGGTGCTGAGTTCCAGCCCAGTGGCAGGCTTGTGCAGTGGCCAGGCTGGGAGCCCAGGCCCAGGGCAGTGCTGAGGCTTTTCAGGGTCTTGGGCAGAGCACGATGACATGCCTGAACACTCAGCTGGCTTCCCTTCCTTGCCTCAGTTCCCTTACCACTCTCCACTATTTTCCTCCAGATAGTCAGGATCTAAGGTGAGTCCTTACTTGTCCTTACTAATAAACAGGGTTTTTTTTGTCATAGAACACACCAGAACGGTGTTCCGGCACCTTTTTTTCCAGTGGATTTTACGAAGTGATTTTGAATCGCCTGTGTAGCAGATCAGCAGCAAACATCATTAATATAGTGCCTGCGGGCTGCTTTTGTGTCTGCTCTCTGCTCTCTGCTGATCTGATAGTGAGATAGTGAGGGTGCTGCTCAGCTTGGGATGCTGCTCCGCTGCTCAGCTTGGGATTGGTGTGTGTGGTCGCGTGCTGAGTGCTTACTTCCAGTGACGACATGAGTTCCGGCACCTTTAAAAAAAAAAAAAAAAAAAAAGCACTGCTAATAAATAAATAAATACTTCCGGACTTTCCATTACTAAGTCTATTTTTGCAGCCACAAGGGGTGCTTCCAGCATCCCTAGTCAAGACAGAACCTGCAGTTCGGCCTTGGCTCCATCATCTTTTTGAGTTAGAAGCACCCTGTGGGGGGCAAGGGCCTGAGCCCTTCTGGCTGCGCTTGGAGAGCTTGCTGCTTTGGCTTGCTCAGGCAGTCGGGGGGATTAACCTCCATTCTGCATGTGTGCTCAAAGGCCAGGGCACGTGAGCTCATGAGAAGGGGCACAGAGCTGCGCAGGGTCCCTTTATCACGTGGAGAACTCGACTTGCATCCAAGCTGCCCTGGGTGGAGCTCCTCTTCAGGTGTTGCTGCTCCACGCAGCAAAGGGAAGGACTCAGCGAGCGGCGGCAGCACACAGTGGCTGCAGGAGCAGGGCTAGAATATGGGGTCCCATGGCCTCATTCACAAGCTTGTGCTTTTACCTCCATTGGCCCTATTCCCAATAGTCTACAATAGCCTACAGCATGAGAGGGGTGATTTGCTAATGTAACCTTCTTCCTTTAAATATTTTGTGGTAAAATAAAACTGTTATTTCTTCGTTGTATGCTCAGTGAAGTCATTTCTCCATTTTTGGGAAGACTCTTGTATGTCGTACCGTGAGTGCACCACGTCTCTGCAGAAGATCCCCATCTCTGCAAGGGCCCATGGCTGCCTTGGTGTGCATGTGTGAACTGGGACACCCAGTG